TCTTTTGCTCAATATCTATTGTAGATTTAATTGATACTGGTTTTATTTTTTTGTTCTTTCCTTCTTTTCTTCTTTCTTTTCTTAATAAAAAGTCACCAGTTCAGATTTTTCATGGGATGAATCTTGAATAATTAAGTATATTATTTGTTAAGACACTACATAGAAGGATCTTTTCCACTCCCTCCAAAAGTAGTCTTATAGAGAGATTACACGGAGTTTCATTTTTAGAATTCTCTTTGATAACAAATATATTAATATCTCCTCTTATAGATAGATTCAAAATGTGGCAGCTTTTAGCAGCAACATACTGGATGCTTCTTCTTGGACCTGTATATGGTTATCACAAGAAAGGAAGCACCACAAATCCTGAAGCTAACATGAATATTGTAAGTCATTCATTAAGGGAAAATATTTAAGATAAGTAATTATTAAGATATTGTCATTTTAGGGCTTTCCTGGTGTCATTTTAGATATAACTGGCATGCTTGTCTAGTTTTTAAAAATTCTAAATTGACTAAATCTGTGTTTCCAACCCTTGTTCCTTGGCATAGCTGACTAACCAAAGAACTGAAAGACCTGACCCAAATTTGGGGCAGTAAGACTCCCTCTGCTGGTGGTTTGAGCTACCATCTCACGGTGGTTTCCTGAAGAGAAAAGTTCACGAATTCCTATTGATGATATTTTTAGAGAATCCTTGGGTTCTTCCTGAGGTTTTTTCTAGAGCAGTTTCTCTGATTTATGAGCTACATTCATGTACATTTTAAGTTTAGTAAGCCAGATTTGGTTTGGGCTGCTTATAAACAAAAATATATTAACATGCAGGAATTCATATCAGAAGGGGACTAGAACAAAGTGGAATGAAATAGATCTATGAAAACAACAAAAACAAACAAAAAAAGACCAGTGACAAATGCTTACTATGTGCTTCATTCCAATGGAAAACATATTTCTTGTATACATTGTGTACCGTCATGTCCCCACCCATACCCATTTGTATTAGAACTTTAATAGAACTATCAATGATATAATTTTTCAAAAATATTTAGAGAGTGAACCTGAGTGCATTAATAATACCATGCCAAGAAAACTACCATGTATGATCACCACCTTACCTTACCAACACCTTGGCACGCATCTTCCTTTTAAAACCCTCCTCAAGTTATCCTGATTTTCCTGCTCTATTCTGTTCCAAAACACAGATGAACAGTAGGTTGTGACTTAAAGTATTATATTGCAATGTGGGTAAAAATTTGGGCATTTTATCATGAAGGTATACATGTTCCTTTCCCCTTTTTAGAGCCAGATTATTTCCTACTGGGGCTATCCTTATGAAACATATGACGTTGTCACAGAAGATGGTTATATCCTCGGAATTTACAGGATTCCTCATGGAAGAGGATGTCCAAAAACAGGTAGGATTTATTTCATTATGAAAGGAATAATGCCTAAGGAGAGATTCCTGGATGTGCTGATAGCAGCAGGACAGCTGTGATTCTAAAATAGAGCCTATTCTCTTCTATTCCTCCTTCTAGTGGAAGAAAATCATCACCGTCACCTCCACTATTCCATTTCATTTGTATAACGCTGGAGTGTTTAAATCATTTTGGCATACACTATTTAGTCTTTCCTTTTCTCCATCATTTTGTCCTCTTTCCCAACAAACACGGAAACAAAAGAAAATGTGGTCTTATTCCAGGAATACCCACTTTCCTGCTTAAAAACAAGAACTCTACGGTCATTTTGATGCTTTTCTCCCCCCACTTTCTATATCCAGCCAATCACCAAGACTTACCAATTTTGCCTTCTAAATGTCTCTCTAATCTGAAAACTCTCAGTTTCAATGTCACTCAAGTCCAGGCTTAGACATCATCTTTATCTTTGACATTATCAGTTATCTTTTAAGCTACTGCAATAGTTTTCTAACTGCTTTTATTTCATTTGTAATTAGTTCTCTACACAAGTCATTTGGATTTTATTTTTTACAGTAAACCTGACCCTATTAGTTCTATACTTGATTGTAATTAAAGAGCCATTTCTAGCTCCCTGCAATACAGGTTAGTATCTGAGAGAAGACAGGATCCACTTGGCAAGAATTGTTTGCTTCTCTCATAGCACCTTTTATTCTTTGGAGCTTTGTATAAACAAACTTTCCAATATCAGAAGGATTATTTGTTAGAAGATTAAAAAAAATTTTTTATGCAATCTAGATGGAACAGTGTTGCTCACTCTATAGAACTGACTGTTCCCTAAAATAACTCCATTAACTTTGGAAATACTTGTGAGAACTTTACTTGCCCGAACTTTCACCTTGTCTGTTCTGGCAGGTAGCTGCCCAAAAGCATGGACGGAAAGCTGTCTCTACAATGAGTAGCTACCTGAGGGCTCAGATTAGAGATGAGCTATGATTGTGACTGCACTTTGGTGGTATTTTAGCAGAATTAGTAACACCTCTTCCTTCTGTCTTTTTCTCAAAAGGTGGATTAATGGATATAGATTTTGGTCCTTGCTTCCAGATGGCTGAGGCTCTCTGAGAGTCCAGTCTCACCTACTCAATCTAAGGAAGCTGGTCGAGCCCCAAAGGGGACCTGTGGGAAAGCCCTGTGGTACCAACACAGCATCATAAATCATTTATGAAAGACAGAAATATCCTAGTCACTTCTCTTTCTCTTCTCAATGTTTTCAGCACCACTTCCCCCATTTCCTTCCTTTTCTTTTCTCTTTCTTTAATCAAATTGTTCCAATTCTACATTGTGAGCAGAATTTTTATATCAAATGAACAATTTTACCTTGTGTACATTTCACTTAAAACCTTGCATTTCACTTTCTGACAATGCAAATTAACTAGCATAGTGCCTGGCATTCAGTGAAATATTCAACAAATGGCATTTTTATTGTCTTTGTTATTATCTTGGAAAAATACTAGCTTTGTAATCAGATGCTTTTTGAGAAATAAAGTGTCATTAATGTGAATAATTATAGAGCAGGTAATTATTGTGGCTGAACAAAATTATATTTTAATTCTAATTTAATTCTTATAACTATACCATAAGATAGCATTTTTTATTATCCCCCATTACAAAATAAGTTAACTAAGGCATAAGGAGGTTGATACATAGCAGAAGAGATTTCTGAAGCGGGGCACTCTGACTCCAACAACTATTTAACAATTCAATGCTTTGGACATAATCCCAGTTTTACAAAGAGAAAAACAAGACACGGAGAAGATAAATAATTTGACCAGCTTCAGAAGTAGTTCAAAATCCTAAAACCTAGACTTGCCTGGTGGTGCCAAATTTGCTTTCTTAACCTTTCTTTTGTATTACAGGGATTCAGAAAAGAGAATTTTCTTCTAGGTACCAAGGAAGTTCAGATAAAAAAATTCTCATTGTCTGTGTTTCACAGCTCCAAAGCCTGTTGTGTATTTGCAACATGGCTTAGTTGCATCTGCCAGTAACTGGATTTGCAACCTGCCCAACAACAGCTTGGCTTTCCTTCTGGCAGATGTTGGTTATGATGTGTGGCTGGGGAACAGCCGGGGAAATACTTGGTCCAGAAAACACTTGAAATTTTCACCCAAGTCACCAGAATACTGGGCCTTCAGGTAAGAAAAACACTACTAATGACTAACATGTGTACATTACTCTTTTATATGGGTGACTACCCTTTTGAATTTTCCCTTTTTGTCCAACTGCGCATTGTGGAATCCACAAGATGGAAATAAACATACCTTCCTCTACCCAGGTTTTCTTCACAAGCTCTGAAGAAATGCCCTTATTATTGCACTGATAGTTGTTTTAAACACTCCACTTGGCCTATGTGTATGTAAAGTATATAAGAAAGAAAAAAAATCAAAATGCAAATTCCAGGACTATCACACTGTCAACGTGCAGTCCAGAAATTTACATGGTACGCTGAATGAAGAGGAATAATGACACTGATCAAGAAATGGGAACAGAAACAATGTTTTAGTTGAAAACCCTGAGAACCAGACATTCCGGTTAAGTCAAAATGAGCCAAGCACTTGAGCAGAGATGACACTCCAATGTTTATTCACTGAGGAGTGAAGGAACCCTGTCCTCCATAGACTGAGGGTGCTGAAGTCTCTCCATGGAGCCAACCTGCCAACAGCAGTCCCTGAGGGTGCTGTCTGCCTTAGAAGTTAGGCCAACTGAGTCACAGAAGCAAGCCTGGCATTTGTAGTGAAGCAAAGAACCGTGCCTTGAAGGTCACTAAAGTTACTTATTCCTTGACCTCATTCCCACCTCACTCCTGGAAGCCATTTGTCATCCCCTAATTCCACATCCCAGGGCAGTTGTGTCATGGCACCATTGCAAATAGCATCATGATTCCCTGGATGAGTGTTTTCCCGACTACACACAGGAGAGAAAGCACCTGAGGCCGCTTTCCTGGAAATGTTGATTCAGTCTATCTGGGCTGAGGTCTGCAAGTCTCTTCACTTTTTCTGTTTGTAAAATAAGCATTCCAGGTAATTTTTCTTTTCAAAGGAGTTTGGTAAATCTGCTATAGGATTAAGTGAAAAGCCTCTGTAGACTGGGCTGATCCTGGGAAAGATCCCAGCCCCTGATGCTGGGAAAGATCAAAGACAAAAGGAGAAGTGGGTGGCAGAGGATAAGATGGTTACATAGCATCACTAACTCAATGGACAGGAATTTGAGCAAACTCCGAGAGACAGTAGAGAACAGAGGAGCCTGGCATGCTGCAGACCAAAGGGCCACAAAGACATGACTTAGCAACCAAACAACTACAACAACTCTGTAGGCTTTGCAAGTCAGAGTTTTCAGTTTCTTAACACAAAGTTACTCTTGGAGCAAGACGAGATCCTCAGAAGATGCCTGACATCATGTATTGATTCTAGTCTTATATTTAACAAAAGCTAAGCATCTAGATCTGCAATGCATATATTTAAGTATTACAAGCCTAACAAAGAGATGGATTTTTTCTAATGCTGTTTTGTTTTGTTTTGTTTTTTCCTTTGGCAGTTTGGATGAGATGGCTAAATATGACCTTCCAGCCACAATCAATTTTATCATAGAGAAAACCAAACAAGAGCAACTCTACTACGTGGGCCACTCCCAAGGCACCACCATTGGTGTGTTGGGACAGATGTGATCTGAGGGTGTCAGGAGATTTTCTTCATATCCATGAAAGGGGTCAGGATTTCTTCCCTCTGTGCAGTCTCTAGCTTTGGGGACTTTGAGTTGGAAAAACATCACACCTGGCTGTCTTCTGAAGAATAAATAAAGTGAGGATGACTAAGGGATTTTCCTGCCCCCTCAGGACTAAATTTGGAGATAGAAGGAAAGACTGAAAGAAAGTCAATTATTTATTTATTCATTTGTGTACCCAGCAAACACTTGCCAGACACTGGGTTAGATACCAGGAAATCAAAGATAAATATGGTATACATCTTTCCCTTGAAGAGCTCACAGTCTAATAAGGGAAACTAAAAAGAAAGCAGAGAATTACAAATCTCAGTGATCATATGCCACAATCAATGTGACTTTTAGTTAGTACCCAGTGGCTGCTAGGGTAGGCTAAATGTGGACGGGCCACATTGGCAGTGCCATAGTCTCTCCATTCTCTTCTCTGTTCTCTTTTCAGCTAGAGACCTTGACATTGCTAACAGCATTTATATCATGCATTTGAGAGCATTATCATCCATATTTTATAAATGGCTGAACTTAGGAGTCCTTTCTAATCATGATAATGCCATTAGAAACTCTACATAAATATAAATCTAACCTTTGAAAGAATTACTCTATAAGTATTCTATTTTCCATGTTTACAGATAGAGAAAGCTGAGACTCATAAAGGGGAGGTAAGTTGCCCAAGTTTTCACACAGCTAGCACATGGGAAACCAAAATTCTAGCTCAGTTTTGTCTGATACCAAAGACTATGATCAAGCTAGAATGGCCGTTGGAGTTTACCTAGACATGCCTGACAACAGATATTTGAATCCTTTCTGTAATATTCTCTGTAAGTAGATTTGCATCCTTCAGAAACAGGAAACTCACTTTATTCTGAATTAGCCAGTTTCATCTTTAGAAATTTAAAAATCCTTGACCCAAAATGGTACTTACTCTGAGTGTCTTTGTTTTCTTTTTTAATATAACTGCTTTTACTATCATTTAAAGTGAGTTAAGCAAGAATTGTTCTAAATCCATAAATTAGTATCTTCTTCCCTTTCAGCTTTCATAGCATTCTCCACTAATCCAGAGCTGGCTAAAAGGATTAAGATATTTTTTGCATTGGCTCCAGTCACAACATTGAAATATACCCAAAGTCCTATGAAAAAATTTACAAATCTTTCCAGAAAAGCAGTCAAGGTATGTGACAACTTTTCCCCAGGTTTCAGTCTGTAGTAACTAAAACTATCTCTATTTCTACTGATTTCAAGAAAAGCCAACTTGAGACATAAAGTTTTACCAAGTGGATCAGTGGTAAAGAGCCCGCCTACAATGCCGAAGACTCGGGTTCGATCCCTGGGTCAGGAAGATCCTCTGAAGAAGGAAATGGCTAACTCTACCAATATTCTTGCCTGGAGAATTCCATGGACAGAGGAGCCCAGCAGGCTACAGTCCTTGGGGTCACACAGAGTCTGACACAACTGAGCATCTAGAAAGAATAAAATAGGTGCTTGAGGTACACATGTAGGTTTACTGATGATGCACAATTTTGCCAATTGCGTTCAGGATGCTCACTCTGATGCCATACTACTCTACCGTCTTCATTTTTTTTATTTAGAGGCTTCTCTCTCACATGATTCCTCTATCACAGATATAGCAAGAGCTGATTTGACTGATGGGCTGATTGATTGGCTTAATTTGTTCTTGTTGTTCAGTTGCTCAGTCATGTCCGACTCTTTGCGACCCAATGGACTGCAGCACACCAGGCTTCCATGTTCTTCACCATCTTCTGGAGCTTTCTCAAACTCATGTCCATTGAGTCAGTGATGCCATCCAATGATCTCATCCTCTGTCATCCACTTCTCCTCCTGCCCTCAATCTTTCCCAGCATCAGGGTCTTTTCTAATGAATCAGCTCTTCACATCAGGTGGCCTACGTATTGGAGCTTCAGCTTCAGCTTCAGTACTTCCGATGAATATTCAGGGTTGATTTCCTTCAGATTTGATCTCCTTGCAGTCCAAGGTACTCTCAAGAGTCTTCTCCAGCACCACAGTTCAAAAGCATCAGTGGTTTAATTAAGTAGGTTAAATTTCTCTCCAGTGCCCCCTACTGTATCAAGGACAGTATGGTGTAGTATTTCAGACTGTATGGAGTCTGATGGCATGAATCTGAATCATAGGTAGCTGGGTGAATTTGGTCAAGATCTTCATTCTAGGAAATATTTTATTCATCTATTAACTGAGGATAATAGTAGTCTCTACTTGTAGGGCTGCTCTGAGGATTAAGTGAGTACATATATGTAAATCTCTTACACATTGTTAGCCTTCAATTAATTCCAGCTATTGTTATTGCTGTCATGATTTCCATAGAACACTAAAAGTCCAAAGTTGCCCACACTTTGTCAACTCTGTTTGTCAGTTCCTCAAAACCTAGGCAGTATCCTAGACCTCAGATGATTTCTGCCAGTTGCCAGCTAACTAAATGATTATTTGCTCAATGAAAAGAATTGTTCTTTGTGAGCTGATGTGTTTTCCTGTTACATAGTAATAGGGGCTTCTTCCGTGACAGACAGAAGATGATTAGACCATTTAGTGATTTCAGTGAAAGCATACAAAAGTGAAAGAATTTTTTTTTTTTTAAGTGAAAGAATTTTTATAGAAGCCAGGAGTTCTGGTTGGTGAGAGATAAGCAAATTAGCCCAGGGCGATTTAATTCCATATCTATACAACCAAAAAGACCGTAGCAGCAAAACTACGGTAATAATGTGAAAAATGCTCACAGATCCCTCATAGTACATGGGCATCTTTTACCATAGAGATTTCAGTCCAACCTGGTCCTACATTATCAGGCAAACAGCACCAGACTTCTTGTTAAATTACTTCAGCATTCCCACAAAGTTAAGAGATATTTTGAGATGGTAGGATCTTCACATTCTCAATTTGCCCAATTCTGCTTCAACTTTCAAAATGTTTTGATCTACCTATACTGTAGTGCAGTTCAATTCAATTTTGTAAAAAAAAAAAAGATGATCTAGGAGCTACTGTTTCAAAAGTATGTCACCATGAAACAGCTATGCCTATAAAGCTTTTTTCAGCCAATCAGCATGACTGAAAATTGGGGCAATGTGTGAATGGTGGAAGACTTGACCAAGAAGAGAATAATGGACAGTTCATAGAAAGCAGCTATGTCATGTTAAAGAGTTTTGTTCTGTTGGTGATGGGAAGTCATTGAAGAATGTTGAACAGAGAAATGGATTGACCAGTTTTGTAGTTTTAGAAATATTACCCATAAGGTGCATTAACTCTAATAGAGAAGCTACCACATGTGACCAACTCACTAATTCCTAATAGAAATTCCAGCAAAATCATAATGATAGATCAAAGAAATTGCCAGACAGACTCAGAGAAAATGTTTCTAGGCATTGGAATCATGGAAGACTTCCTGGATGGCATTTCTAAGTTTGGGCTAAAGGACAAGATTTCAATTTACAATGTCTTGTAGAAAGTCTTTCCAAACTAAGGGAAACCTGAGCACCATTGAAGGGGTGAAGCTCAAGTCTTGGGAAATCACATGTAATTGACTTTATTTAGCTTTAAATTTGTGAAAGGTATGAGAAATAATATTGGAAATGTATGAATGGATTCTGTAGGAAATGTAGGAATATTGGAAATGTGGACTTAAATGCCAAGTTAAGAAGCTTGGGTTATATTCGATATATGGTGGCTGATCATGGGAGGTATTTACACAAAAGAATGACAGGCATAATGCTCTTTTTAGAAAAATTCTCCTGGGGACCAAATAGAAGTGAATGAGAGTAAAATATATAAGAAGGGCAAAAGATGAGGGAAATGGTTATAGATTTATTGTTACACTTCAGTTGAGAAACCTAGCCAAGGTTGTGCAAGAGAAGACAAAGTTTATAGGGTTTGACAATGAAATGATAGGCATAGTATAAACTTTTAGAGAGTTAAGATTTTTGCTTTTGTTTTTGTTTTCTCTTTTCCTCTCCTATTAGGCAAACGTTGGTCTTCCAGTTTTTCTCATCAATAGTTGCACTGTAAATAGCTCTAATTTTAGTGTGCCTGTGGGGAAGATGGGCTTAGGGTCTTTCTACTCTACCACCTTGCCTACTTTGCACTAGGTGTGTTTTAAATGTGATTTATTATCTACACAGAAATTCTTAGTGCACATTGATTTTCTATTTTATAGTTGAGGAAATCCAGGATAATAGAAAATTAAATACGAGACAGAGTTTAGAATCAAACCAAGGTACCACTGACCCCCAAAGCCTTAGCAGTTTTCTATGGAGACAAGATTTTTAGGGGACGCTCCAAAAAACACTTCAACTAAAGGATCTTGGGAGAAAAAGCTTCAAGAGGTGAGTTGGGAGGACTACAAAGACAGTTTAATGGGCTTTTTGGTTTCACTGAGGGCTAGTACTGAGCAGATGTCACCATGTCCAGTGCTTGACTGAATTACCACTTGTTTTCCACTTGACATTCACATCCATGAAATTTGATGGCGTCTTAAATCGATCTTGCAGGTATTATTTGGTGACAAGATGTTCTCTCCGCACACATTTTTTAACCAATTCATTGCCACCAAGGTATGCAACCGGAAGATATTTCATCGTATTTGCAGCAACTTTATATTTACTTTGAGTGGATTTGATCCGAAAAACTTAAACATGGTACGTGTAAGTAGTCAGATCCAGGAAAGCAATTGTTTTGTTGGACAGAGATAAGGAGAGTTCATTCTAAATTGTGTGGAAACCACATTTCAAAGCCTTTTTGTCTCCTGGAATGTAACTAGCATGTTCATGGCTTCCAACCCAAGCTGAGAGTCCACCTGCTTGAGTAGGAGGATTTGAGGCTTCATTAAATATTCTTGGACCAGGAAAGAAAAGTGCTTTGCCTTTTGTCTTTGACCACAGGATGTCCTCTGTGGGCTTTACACAGACACTTCCCGAGGCAGGAAAATAGAGGTGAGGGAAGAGAAAATTCTTAAAGATGGGCTTCTTTGCTTAGTTTATCTTCAGAGGATGTGGTACATGTTTATTCTGAGAGAGAGAGATTGGGTCAGGTGAGAGAGGGAAAGAAAACACTCAGATTCACTTGTGGTGTGACTACATGATTAGCCTTCAGGTAAGAATTAATCTTTTTACTTTGCAGAGTCGCTTAGATGTTTATTTTGCACAGAGCTCTGCGGGAACATCTGTTCAGACCATGCTGCACTGGGCCCAGGTATGTACTCCCACTTCCTGATATAACACACACATATCTCTGCAAGATCCCTGAGGGGCACGTCCAGAGAGCTCACTCTGTGAGTTATGCCACTGTCGGGTGGATGCTTCTGGAATCAGATCAACTCATGTCGATGTTCTTTACTCTCATCTATTCTCCAGGTCCTCTGTGTATTCCCAGATATTCTGACTGAATTCTGATCTTCAGATTACTCCTAATTGTCTTGTCTAGTGTTTCCTCTTTTGGGAAATCATTCACTCTAACAGAGCTATACATAACATGATAAATGCTATTCTAGAAAGATCTTTTTACCCTCAACTAGGATATAGGCAATTTCAGAGTGTGGAAATACTGCCTAAGTTAGAGGACATTGAATGTTAGAGAGGGTTTTAAATGGACTAAGGGTTTCTGTTTTTACTCTCCATTTAAGTTTTTTGTGTGTGTTACTATATTTCTCAGGATTTGGCAAGCTCAGCGATAAGTCAAATTCAGTTGGTATAGCTTTCTAAGCCACGTATGTCAGTGTGTGTGTATGTGTGTGTGCACATGTACAAGTGGGGAAGGTCTAATATTTAATATTTAATTAAATATCTTAATTTTAAAATACTTTAAAAAGTTGAATAAGAATCTGAAATCCCTAGGAATCTGAATTTTAACCTACACCCTGATAAATTTCTTCCATGCTTTAGAGTTGACAATCACTGCTATAGATAGTCTTAAATACTAGTTGAAGATTTCTGAAATTCATTGAAGAGTTACACCCTCAAGAGATAAGTGTTCAAGTTCCTAAAGGAAGACAGATATTCCAGATTTAGGACTTCCTACTGGTGAGGAGACAGGTAGATTCTGAAAGGCATAGTTTTCCAGGTAATACAACTTCAATTTCATATTCATTGAGCACTTACAATGTGCTTTTATTGTCCAGATATATATCTCATTGTCTGTTATGAATTCTCCTAACAATCTTTCAATGAAACCATTGATATTCCCCATTCTAAAAATGTCACAGCCAATCCTTACCTCTCACAGTTGACTCCTCTTAAAGCTATCTCTTCTCCTTTGATAGAAAGTTCTCTTGAGAATAGAAATAAGTGGGTGGGGTGGGGAGATAAAATATTTGGTTATAAGTTACGTAGACAGCTAAGCCAAGGATGATGATAATAACATGATGGTAACCATATCAATGAAAAGAGTGATTTCTTGACCGTTCCTAGGTGCCACATGCTTTTTATGCATTACTTTATCTTCATAACCCTATAAGCAGAATGCTATTGTCATTTCCATTGCACAGATGAGAAAACAGGTTTAGAGAAGATGTATATACAGCCTGGATCACAGATTTAATAATCCTTTAAGCCTGGATTAAAGCTAGGTCTGTTTGATGTTAGAACCCAAGTTCCTAACTATATAGTACATTCTATTGCCTCTCATGGCTGAAAACCTACACAATTTCAACCACAGCAGACTACTGCCTCTGTGAATATAAATGACAGTGGGAAACATTTCAAACAAAAAGTCAGAATTAAATCAGTTCATGTGAAAAAAAATCAAGTTGAAAAAAACCTTTGGAGTAATCTGAAAATAATTTAACGAAGTGCTTGAGGTAAAGGTAAAAATTATGTCTCCTCAATCCAAATGGGTGGCAAATAACCAGAAAAGTGAACTCCTAGAAGTATTAATGTTTCTATATTAATATCTGAAGTCTAAAACTTAAAATAACAAAAGGGCACACACAGTGTCTCAGACACTCAGGCTGTGGCCATGTTATTGACAATATGGCAGGCTGCTTGGCCATATAGACAGGAAGCAGACAGACACGATACCTCAGAAAGCCTTGAAGGTGTTCTTTGAGTGAGCATTCCTTCAAAGTTAACAAAAATGTTTAAGAATAAGGAATATAGTCATATTATCCTAGACCATCTGATACGATAACAAGGTATAAAGTTTAATAATAGTAGCAGTCATTTTTTAATGTATAGCTAGTACCTTTCAAAAAATATTAAAATTCTTGAAGCCAAGATGTTCAAGAATCAATGTAGCATCTTTTAAAACACGTCTATGTACACAGCATACAATTTATTTAAAGGCATCACTGCTGGAAGATTTTCATTGGAAAAATATAAAAGGAAAGAAAAGATAGTTCCATGAATTTGTATCAATTTTTATCATTTTTATTATTTCACTTATTAAACTTTGACTTTTAGCTCATGTGCTAAAGCATGGTACATTATGTCAATCCTTTTTGTATATTTTTTGCTTACTGTCTTTACATGTATGTTGTTTTCATATATCATTTTAAAGTGTTTATTATTTGTATCTTTTTATAGGCTGTTAATTCTGGTCGGTTCCAAGCTTTTGATTGGGGAAACCCTGGTCAGAATATGAAGCACTTCCACCAGGTACAATAACAATAATCACCAATTGCATACTGCAAATGAAATTTGTAAAAATAGTATCTACTCATCAAGCACCTACTCACTATGCTCCATTCGCTATGCCAGATACTTTGTATAGATCAGATGCTATTTGGGGGAATCTTACCACTTGCCTTATCATTGTTTTTGATTCTCAGCATGACCTTCCCAGATAAATATTAGGTTAGGTAAATTGTCTCTATTTTTCCAGAAGCTCAGAGAGGTTAGGTGAATTGTCAAAAATTATTTAGCTAGTAAAGAACCAGAATACCACCCAGGGTTCCTGGATCAAAAGTATATTCTTCTTCTGTTACACTTATTCCTCAAAAAAATAGAAATTCTCAGCACTTAAGACCATATTTTTAAAGAAAGAATTAAAGATGCACAATTTTATTTCTAAAGCATATTCTCTGGCTTCTTATCCATCCCTCATAAATGAACCTCATAAAATGAACTAACTTTATCCTAATAAGTTTTTGGATGTCATTTACTGCTCATTCAAAAACAATTATGAATGATTAAAGATATTCCAGACAGGATTATCACCTTTAGAAAAAAGCAATGCTGTTTGCCAGATAATGATATGTCCATTTATATCTTGACATTATATATGAAAACTTTCCCTTGTGAAAAAACTCCATATTAAAGTGAATAGGTATTGTTAATTTTTCCAATATTTAAGGTAATCCAATGACGGCTTCAGCTTCTGGCTAATAGATGGAGCTCAAATTAAACCAGTAGGCAACAAAGATACATGGATTTTTTTCAAATCAGGCATGTGGAAATTTGGAGATTTTTTAAAGCAATTTCACTGTTACCATAATAACTATGATAGTGAAAATGCATAACTTCAAGTAGTGTAAAAAAGCTGATTTTCCCCTAAACTGCTATAGTTGTATGTGTGTGGAGAGGTGTGTGCACACATACACAAACTCACACACTGTGTCAGAGTGCTATTTATTCTTGTGATTAACAGCTCCTTGTACTAGCAAGAGTATGTAGTTGATTTAGGAAAAGCTTTTTAGGTGATGACTTTACCCTATAAGACTCAAATACCTACTTGGATGAAAGCTGAATCACAGGTATTAACTCTGTCATTGTGCTCATAGATTCTATCAAAATACATGGCAGTTCAGTTTCAATTATGGATCTTTTGCTTGGAACTTTAGGGAGGAAAAGAAAACTTAAACTGTAAACAATATATAAGTTTTAACAATTAACAACCTTTGTCACAACTATAAGTAATATCATCATAAGTTAGATAGGTGTAATTACCAATATAATCACCAATCCTGTATTACTAAGAAAAAAAAAAGTGAAAAAAGAAAATTTTCTGGGCCAAAAGCTACCACGTATCATTTGGATCCTGATCTGGATGTTCATTTTTGTTTTGACATCTTCTGGGCTTCCCAGTTCATTCTGAATACGGTATTAAATTACTGCAGTCAATGTATTCTGATTTTAGGAGCTCCTTAGATAAACTTGTGCCTTATAGCTTGCTAATATTTTTCTTCCTCTTTGCTGTGTTGTTTTTCTATCCTTTATCTCTCTCTATCCTTGCCTTTGAATATTTATGCCTTGTATTTTTCTACTGAGAACACTACCAAGTCAGGAAAAGCAAGCCTCTTTCTTCAGTTGCACTTGGCATTGAGTGCACCAGGCTTTCCTTAGCCCACCGTTCCCTTGCATTCAGTACTCATTAGTTCTAATCTTCACTGATTTCCTTCTTTGCCCTTCACATTGTCTTCTCATGGCTACACATTCCTATTTACCACTTGCTTCTAAGCCCAGATCCAAGGTCTTCCAGTATTATGATGTAGGGACTTAATACTTAAGATATTTGCTAATGCAAAGACCCATCTACTGATGGTGACATGTGGAACGGCTATACCAGTGCTCTGCCTGCCGATCACTCTACTAAGAGAACTCATGGTGCAGTTATCGAGTCAGAGGTCTCCCCAGGCACATTTCTAGTCTTAGAAACCTCTTCCTGGCCAAAGTTACTGTTTTATAAGAATTTATAACTTGGTCCATGTTACCTTTTCTTCTTAGTCTTGCTGCTGAAATTACCTATGGTGCATTAATCGCCTTTTGGCTACCATAAAAAATCCCATAGACTGAGTGGCTTAAACAACAGAAATTTATTTCTAACAGTCCTGGAAGCTGGAAGTTCAAGAGCAGGGGTGTCAGCATGGTCAGGTTCTAGTGAGGGCTTTCTTACTGGATTGCAGACAGCCTCCTTCTCCATGTATGTCCACATAGCCTTTCCTCTTTGTCTCTTGTTGAAGAGAGAGATCTGTCTCTCTCTCTCTCTCTCTCTCTCTCTCTCACTTCTCCTTCCTATAAGGCCACCAATCCTGTTGGATTAGGATCCAAACCTTATAACCTCATTTAACCTTAATTACTTCCTAAAAGCCTTTTCTCTAAATACAATCACTTGGGGTTAAGGTTTCAACATATAAATTTGGAGGAAACACAATTTAGTCCATAGAATATGTAGGTCTTTACAATGCAAGTAGTAAAAATCACTCTATTTTAAATTTTATAAAAATATGGTTTGGTTTTACTGAAATAAGAAGTATAATGGTAAACTCACAATTGCCAGGAATATACACAATCATCAGGCTTTCCCTTTCTCCCTGTCACTCTCTCTCAATTCTGCTTGCATATGCTGCTTGCATTTTCAGACTATTAAGATAGTAGTACAACAGTTAATGTATGTATATAACATACAGTAACATTTAGAACATACAGAACTTGCTTAACAACTGATAGTTGATGTTCCTTCTATAATATGATTTTCTGTGAAAACAATTTTTCTCTCTCAATTTTATTTAGCTTACACCTCCTCTATACAACGTTTCTAATATGGAAGTTCCAACAGCAGTGTGGAGTGGTGGACAGGACTGCGTGGCTGATCTCAAAGATGTTGAGAATTTACTCCCTACAATTACCAAGCTCATTTATTACAAGTCAATTCCACACTACAATCATGTGGATTTTTACCTTGGACAGGATGCACCCCGGGAAATTTACCAAGACCTAATTAGAATGATGGAGGAATGGTTGTAAAATTAAATACACTTTCCTTTCCCTAAGGAAGTGGATTTTAGTCATAAGAATGTGGTACACAGACTCTAGGTAACCCCTCGAATAATTTGTGGTCCACCCAGGAACCACAAATTTGTGTAATCCTTTCCTGTTGAGTGTGGGAGGGACCTGAGACTTGCTTCCAGACAGGAGAATTGGCAAAGGTGATGGGATGTCATCCCCTAATTGCAGTCTATTATATAAGAATCCATCTTAGCAGACTAGAGCAAGAGATTCTCCTTGGCTTAATAAGGCTAACAAATGTGGGAAGGAACCATATGTGGCTTCTAGGATCTGCAGGTGGCCTCCAGCTGATAACTTGCAAAGAATCGGGACTCTCAGTCATATGAGAAAATGAATTCTGCCTAAAATCTGAATGAGCTTGGGAGTCCATTCTTTCCTAGCTCGGCCTCTTGTTGAGGAAGCAGTCTGTATAACACCTGGATTGCAGCCTGAGAACCAGTGAGACCTGGAGCAGAGGACCTAACTATGCCATACCTGAACTACTGACCCACAGAATGTGAGATAATAAATATTGTTTTAAGTCACTAAATTTGTGGTCATTTGCTATCAGCAGTGGCAAACTACTACTGTTATTATTAATAATGAATTATTATCATTACCTCTATCATTATTTTTTTCCTTGGTTAGACACTGGCGAAATCCTGTTTCTTATTTCATTATTTTTCTCTGTCTTATTTTTCTTCTCATGATGAACTGAGTTGAATATTTCTTGTTATGCAGATCTGATAGCGATTCATTCTTGCAGTGTGATACCATATTGTCTTGTTGTGGTAAGGACACTTAACGTAAGATTTACCCTCTTAATATGTTTTTAAGTGTATTTTTAAGTGGGTCACCTACCCAGGGGTGTGGGTTTTGATTATACCACATCTTCCTTCCTGTCTTGTTGTTCCTTTTTTTATATCTTTAACTGTGGAAAATATTTTCTGGTAGTCCTCAGGTCATTCCCATTGATAGTTGCTTTGTAAATAGTTGTACTTTTGATGTGCTCATGGGAGGAGGGGAGCTCAGTTCTCCCTACTCTGCTATCTTGATCACTTTCCCTACACCATTTTTTACAGTCTATTTTTCATTGGAGTATAACCAATTAACAATGTTGTGACAATTTCAGGTGTTCAGCAAAAGGACTCAGCTATACATATACATGTATCCCTTCTTCCCCAGACTCCCCTCGCATTCAGGCTACCACATAACATTGACCAGATCCTTGTTGGTTATCCATTTTAATTATAGCAGTGTGTACACAACATTACATCTCTTAATCAAGTAGGATTTTCTTGTTTTTATTCCTATATCTTAAAAATATTCTATCTTAATTTATAATTTATTTTCAGTAGGAGCCTCAAGGTACATCACCACCATTCTCATCAATCATATCAATTTAATATTTTTGGTTTGAATTATATGTTCAGGAATCTGAACTAGCAACTTCCAGAGGGGAGAACATTTTAATATGGAACCATTTTTCAGTTCCACTATAAGGCTTCTGTGCACAGGACTTGGGGAGTCAGAGTCTTCTTGGTGGCATCATGTCTTTGTAATCCTTACCAGTTATTAATATAAAAAAATTTACCCTGCACCTCTTGTGTGTTCCTTGGTGGCTCTGATGATAAAGAATCTTCCCGCAATGCAGGAGCCCTGGGTTTGATCCCTGGGTTAGGAAGATCCCCTGAAGAAGAGAATGGCTACCCACTCCAGTATTCTGGCCTGGAAAATTGCATGGACTGTACAGGCCATGGGGCTGCAAAGTGTTGGACATGACTGAGAGACTTTCACACACACACACACACACACAGTATTTATTTAGCACTTGTTAGCTTATTTGGCATTTATCAAAGGCATAGCCAAAGATGTCTATTCCTGTCCCTGTCTCTGTGATACAGTACTATGCTTATCTTATTTTAAGGAAGACCATTGATGCTCAGAAGACTTAAATACTAACTCAGGCAAATATTTAAGAACAACAATAAAATCTGGATCTTGAGTGCAGAGTTATTGAGATCCAAATTCTAGCTCTTGCTACTTCCTGGTACTGTTCCCTTAGAGATGTAGATGAGGAAATCCAATACAGATTGTCCTGGTCAGGGAAGGTCCTGCTTATTAGAGAATTTCTGAGGCTTTGTACAGTGGGTAAGGGCAGAATTTAATGCATGTTTTTACTTAAGGGAAAAGTCTGTAAAGTAAACAGGGGGCTTCCCTGGTGCTCAGTGGTAAAGAATCTGTCTGCCAGTGCAGGAGACATGGGTTCAACCCCTGATCAGGGAAGATCCCAGATGCTATGGAGCAACTAAACCCATGCACCACAACTATTGAATCTGGGCTCTGGAGCCCAAGAGCCACAACTACTGAAGCCTGCACACACTAGAGTTCATGCTCTGCAACAAGAGAAGCCACCACAATGAGAAGCCCACACATCGCAACCAGAGAGTAGCCCCCACTTCCTGCAACTAAAGAAAAGTATGTGCAGCAATGAGGACACAACATTTATTTAGTTATTTATTTATTTAAATAAAACTTAAAATTAAACAAGAAGACTAAAGCAAAATCACCAGAGAACAGAAAGGGAGTGGCTGAACCAGAAACAAGGACAGGGTATAAAATGGGTAATGTTCAGACAGAGCAGGAGTGTGGGTGACTAAGTGAAACAGGCTACCCAGGTTCTGAGTCAAAATTAGGTTGGCACAGAATGAAGCCAGATCTGGCAGCCTGGTTGGTACTTACCAGCCAGTGTGTTGATAGGTGTGTTGTGATAGTTCTTCCATAGTCACACTTTCAGGTAGCAATCACTTGACCCTACCCAATGTAACTCATCTCCATGAAGCCCTGTCTTGCAACACTGAGAATTACCCAACCCTCAACATAACAATCTGCCTTTCCACATTTAGTTGAGTCAGAAATTTGTGGCAGTCACTTCTCTTTGTAAGAAAAGGCCTTTCCTTCATCTTCATGCCTGAGATTGCTTAAATCAGGCTGAACATTTCACACTTTTTTCCACACCTTCCAGATCCAGTCCTTTCAGTGTTGATTCAAAATATTGTGTCCTGCACACCAATGTGATGTTACATGGATACATTTGGCTCAGTGGAATGAACTAGTTCAGTCAGTCCTTCCTTTATAGGACATCAAGGATAATACCAGTAGTTATGAAGATCATCATAACAAAAATCATTCTCGTTTCTGTACCATGTTGTGTTGTATTCAAAGTGCTTTCAGAGCCGTAATTACCTTTCTTTTTTTGATTGAGAGGTAACAAGGAATGGTTATGGGGTTATTGATAGTGCTCATGTTGGGCTTCCCCAGTGGTTAAGAATCCACCTGCAATACTAGAGATGAAGGTTCGAGCCCTGGGTCAGGAAGGAGAAGGAAATGGCAACTCACTCCAGCATTCTTGTCTTGGAAATCCCATGGACAGAGGAGCCTGGCAGGCTACTGTCCATAGGGTCGCAAAAAAGTTTGACATGACTTAGCAACTAAACAGCAACAAATACTCATGTTAGCATTAGATATTGAAAGTTCCAGGGTCAACTCCACAATTGATTAGCCACATGACACCAAAAATATCATGTACCATTGGCTCCTGCAATTTCCTTTTCTACAAAATAGTAACATTCTTTCTTACCTACATCATATGCTGTCATGGATACCAAAGATGTATTAATACATGAAGCATATTTGTAAAGCACAGCACTTAAACAGAGGCCCCGAAGTCACATTGCTTAGGTTCGGTTCCTAGCCCTATTATTATCTTTATATCCAAAGATAAGTTAACGAATCACTTTAATCACATTTTCCTATCTGTGAAATGGAAATAATACTTGTTGTTGTTTAGTTGCTGCATTGTGTTTGAATATTGGCGGGGGGGGGGGGGGCCTGCAGCCCTCCAGACCCCTCTGTACATGGGATTTCCCAGGCAAGAACACTGGAGTGGGTTGCCAATTTCTTCTCCAGAGTCTCTTCCCAACCCAGAAATAGAACCCACGTCTCCTGCATTAGTAGGCAGATTCTTCACCACTGATCCACCAGAGAAGCCCAGAGACAACATTAGTACCTCTATTATTGAGTTGTTATGAGATAATGCATTAAAAGAATTTAACACAATGCCAGTTACATAGAAAGGGATTAATAAATATTATTTATAAAATGTTGGGAGGGAGCACTTCCCTGGTGGCTCAGATGGTAAAGAATCTGCCTGCAGTGCAAGACACCTGGCCTCAATCCCTGGGTCGGGAAGATCCCCTGGAGAAGAGAATGGCAAACTACTCCAGAATTCTTGCCTAGAAAATTCCACAAACAGAGGAGGCTGGGGGAGGTATAGTCCATAGTGTTAAAGAGTTATACACAACTGAGCGAATTTCACTCACTCATATAAAGATAATTGACTAATATCTTTAATTTTGATCAAATTCCCATATGGAAAATATAAATCTTAATTTACATAGGAATTAAGTATACCGAGACATTAAATGACATATGCAAAATCCTATTTTTCTGCCATCTTGAGATTTTGATATATTTATCCTACAAACATTAAAAATAGAAATCACCTCTACCTATTATTTTGAAACACTTCTCATTTGCCAGGTATTATACTAAGTACTTCCTATACATTATCTTGTTGGATTCTCATAATAGTCCTAAAAATGGACTCCATGTTCTGTCCATTTTACACATCTTTAAATACATAGCAGTATGTTTGTAAAATTAATAACTTGCTGAAGTAATAGACCCACTTTTTGGGGGAAAAGCTGTCTCATTATAGGGGCCAGTACTGTTGATTAACCATGATGCTATATTACTTCTCACAATGCAATATTGCCAGAATAATAGTATTTGTCAAGCAATTAATCTCCATTTATTCACACAAGCAATTAAATAAGCTCTAAGATTTTATCCACTGCCATACTGCCTTATACAATGGAGGGAGAAAGAGAAGAAACATGTGCACAGAAATAAGAATT